TCAGAATAAGAGTTGATTTTTCATCGATGTACTTGTGAGTCGAAGGCACCAATGTCGGCCTACTGAGTTATGTAGCCTGGTTTAGGGAATGTTGCTATGTTGCATTGATCTGTTATAACTGAGTCCTGGTATATAGGATGTTATTATGCGGTAGTGATCGGTATATATTCCTGTGAGTCTGTTGTCTGGCTATATGATGTCTGTCGAATATATGTTATATGTTATATGTCGACATAGTATGGTTGGGTTGAGACTATACTGCTTTGTGCGGCTGGTCAACAAACCCTCGACAATCCAATCGGGAGGTTGTATGCCAGGGAAATCCAACCGAAAAGGTTGGGGGCCAGGGTAATCCAATAGGGAGGTTGTGGACCCAATACGTTATTTGTAGGGCAATCCAATCGGGAGGTTGTGGACCCAACATTCATTTTGTAAATATGTTTGGTTGTGCTATGTGGTACTTTGGGGGAACTTAGTAAGCTTTGACTTACGATTTCATTTTTATGTTTTAGGTACTTCGGATGACCGGGGCAAGGCGAATGCGTGATTGTACACATCCTTCGGTGATATGTTTTAGGAGATTTTATGATATATTGATCTTGGGGATATTTGTATGGATACTTGATTTGATATGGTTTTGGTTGAAAACAATGGTTTCTTTTAAGTTAAAAATGAAAAAAATTATTGTGATTATTGGAATGTTACGCACGAACGAAATTTCATTAACATATAAAAACAACTAAATGTTGATATGATGTATTTAAAGCAACCTATCAATCCAAATGACAGATGAATCGAAACTCACGTGTCAACGAAAGCAAACAAAGAGATTCGACCAAAAATTTTAGATGATAGCGAGGAAGAGGCGAGAATGGAGGTAAGATATGTGGGGAATGAGATGAGGGAAAACAGGAACCCTCACATGATACCATGAATCAAAAGCTCTCCCTCTATAATTTGTTGGTATAAATACCACCAGAGAGAAGTTAGAGGAGCATAAAGCCAGGGGAACGTGGGAGGAGGCGGTTCTTGACTGATTTAACATGAGAAGTTATCAGGAGGTTATAGAAGGATACATGGGTATTAAGAAATGAGGGAGAAGAAGAAGGAAGTGTGTCGATGAGCTAAACACGGCTGGAACCTCCGATTAACGGTAAATACAGAGTTATTACGGTCCAAATTGAAAGTTGGAGGAGTTTGAAGGACTGAGATGTGTTGGACGGGTATTGACTCACAATCGTCAATAATATAAAAAATAACTTTTGAATTTATCAAGGTTATTTCAAATACTAATAAACTATTAAAAAAAATAGAGATACTCTTGCAAACATTTTAAATGAGAACTTATTCAAAAGGTTATTACTATCTAAAATAACAAAATAACAAATATAGGTATTTATTAAATGTATATTTTACTTTTTTTTGTTATGTATAAATAACCCTCTCCTCTAAATATAAAAATTTCAATTTTTTATTACATTTCACTAGTTAATTTATACTATTAAAAGATTCAATAAGATTTTCATGTACTAAAGTTACATTTATAACAATTATATAATATTTTCAATGTTAGATTTATCTTTAAAACTATATATAATAATTTATTCACTAATTAATTTCTACTAAGAAACAATTTTAATTTTATTAGAATATTAACGTCTAGCAATATATTTTTATAAAACATATCGTATTACAGCTGCTTAACAAAAAAAAAGACCCTTTATAGAAAGGTTAACCAACAGTTGAAAGTTTTTAATAATTAGTTAAATTTAGCAGATAACTACGGATTTTACAAACATAATAAGTCATAATATACGTTGACCATTGTGGATAACTACTACAATGAAAATATTAGAATAGAACATAAACTTAAAACACTATAGGAGTATTTTGTGTTACTATAATTACTTATTTGAGAACTAAAGGTCTTTATTAATGGGTCAATAGTGCTTGGTGGATACGTTACGGTTATATGTGATTAAGGTGTCATAGACTCAGAATCTGTGATCTTTTCTTTATTTCCTGTTCCTTCTTTGGTTGTGGATTTGGAGTTAGGATAACTTATTCGAAGGTCTATCCTGTTTTGACGGCTTGTAACTGGTATGCACTATGCAAGTATTCAAGTAACTGGTAAAGATCATCCTATAATTATCTTAATTAGTATGTGAGAAATTCAAAACAAATAATAAAAAAAAAAACTTAAATTTTATGTTTTCCAGTAGCTATCGCAACTTTTACACCTTTTGATAAGCCTCCCTTAAAGCCTTAGCATTTGTAGTAGAAAATTTTCTTTTGCTATTCAGAAGTGTACCTTATCGTGATTTATTGGACTGTAAGGATAAAATAATCGTTTCATCACATTCAGATGTTTTATTAAGAGCATTTGAAGTAAATCTCAACATCCATGTCACAGAAGATATAGCTGAATTTTGGTTTGTAGAATCGAAGACTACCAGCTTTCTTCCTTCCTTTTGACAAATCAAATGTAAAGCCAGTTACAAATATAGAATTGTACTTAAAACTTGAAAAAGATATGGATCAAAATTTTAAGTAAATTAAAAATACCATCATAAATCTTTAGTAAAGGGGCTTCATCAGATTCAAGATTCAATAGAAGATGCACTTTGTATCAATCCTTTTCCTTTCCATCCAAGATTCTTCAAAACAGGTGAACATATGGAAGATGATTGAGCAATGGAGGATGATCGTAGAGAAGAGACAAATGTAGAAAATGATACATAGGAAGAGTGAATCATCATCATATTCTCGTTGTGTTACTTAGTTCACATGTATTTGTAATTAACAGCAAAAAAACCTAATGGTATTTTGGGTATGTTGAGTGGTATTTGAATGGTTGCTTTGATTAATTAAGAGCTTATTGGAATAAGTTGGTTTGAACAGTCACCATGACGTGATGGATGGCTACCGTGCGACTGTTTCGTCCTCTAGTCACCATGACGTGGTTGGAGCTAACCATGACATGGCAACTGGCTGAGTTGACTTGTTGATTTTGACCTTTGACCAGGGTTTGACCTAAGGGTATTTAGGGTATTTTGAGTGGTATTTGATATTTGTCATTTCTTGATGAATAGGTGACCGGTTGAGCTGACATTCATAGTTGTACCCTATTCAGAGATCTTTTTCAGAATGAGAGTTGATTTTTCATCAATGTACTTGTGAGTCGAAGGCACCAATGTCGGCCAACTGAGTTATGTAGCCTGGTTTAGGGAATGTTGCTATGTTGCATTTGATCTGTTAGAACTGAGTCCTGGGTATATAGGATGTTATTATGCGGTAGTGATCGGTATATATTCCTGTGAGTCTGTTGTCTGGCTATATGATGTCTGTCGAATATATGTTATATGTTATATGTCGACATAGTATGGTTGGGTTGAGACTATACTGCTTTGTGCGGCTGGTCAACAAACCCTCGACAATCCAATCGGGAGGTTGTAGGCCAGGGAAATCCAACCGGAAAGGTTGTGGGCCAGGGTAATCCAATAGGGAGGTTGTGGACCCAATACGTTATTTGCAGGGCAATCCAATTGGGAGGTTGTGGACCCAGCATTCATTTTGTAAATATGTTTGGTTGTGCTATGTGGTACTTTGGGGGAACTCAGTAAGCTTTGACTTACGATTTCAGTTTTATGTTTTAGGTACTTCGGATGACCGGGGCAAGGCGAATGCGTGATTGTACACATCCTTCGGTGATATGTTTTGGGAGATTTTATGATATATTGATCTTGGGGATATTTGTATTGATACTTGATTTGATATGGTTTTGGTTGAAAACAATGGTTTCTTTTAAGTTAAAAATGAAAAAAATTATTGTGATTATTGGAATGTTACGCACGAACGAAATTTCATTAACATATAAAAACAACTAAAAGTTGATACGATGTATTTGAAGCAACCTATCAATCCAAATGACAGATGAATCGAAACTCACGTGTCAACGAAAGTAAACAAAGAGATTCGACCAAAAATTTTAGATGATAGTGAGGAAGAGGCGAGAATGGATGTAAGATATATGGGGAATGAGATGTGGGAAAACAGGAACCCTCACATGATACCATGAATCAAAAGCTCTCCCTCTGTAATTTGTTGGTATAAATACCACCAGAGAGAGAAGTTAGAGGAGCATAAAGCCAGGGGAACGTGGGAGGAGGCGGTTCTTGACTGATTTAACATGAGAAGTTATCAAGAGGTTATAGAAGGATACATGGGTATTGAGAAATGAGGGAGAAGAAGAAGGATGTGTGTTGATGAGCTAAACCCGACTGGAACCTCTGATTAACGGTAAATACAGAGTTATTACGGTCCAAATTGAAAGTTTGAGGAGTTTGAAGGACTGAGATGTGTTGGACGGTTATTGACTCACAATCGTCAATAATATAAAAAATAACTTTTGAATTTATCAAAGTTATTTCGGATACTAATAAACTATTAAAAAAAATAAAGATACTCTTGCAAACATTTTAAATGAGAACTTATTCAAAAGGTTATTACTATCTAAAATAACAAAATAACAAATATAGGTATTTATTAAATGTATATTTTACTTTTTTTGTTATGTATAAATAACCCTCTATTATTCGATAATATTTAATTTCACTCCTCTAAATATAAAAATTTCAATTTTTTATTACATTTCACTAGTTAATTTATACTATTAAAAGATTCAATAAGATTTTCATTTACTAAAGATTACATTTATAACAATTATATAATATTTTCAATGTTAGATTTGTCTTTAAAACTATATATAATAATTTATTCACTAATTAATTTCTATTAAGAAACAATTTTAATTTTATTAGAATATTAACGTCTAGCAATATATTTTTATAAAACATGTCGTATTACAGCTGCTTAACAAAAAAAAAACCCTTTATAGAAAGGTTAACCAACGGTTGAAAGTTTTTAATAATTAGTTAAATTTACCAGATAACTACGGATTTGACAAACATAATAAGTCATAATATACGTTGACCATTGTGGATGCTTTTAGGGTTGTTTGATAAAACCGAAGGTTCAAAGAATGAGAATGTAGGGTTCCTTAACTTTCAAATGCCGTATCAAACACACTGAACAACACCTCCGATTGGTTCCATTAAGAAGCTATCAAACAACCTTTCAAATGATTTCAACATCTTAATGCTTCAGAGACGAGAAGGTATAGGTCCTTAACCGCATTGGATGATTCCATTTAGAGGTTATCAAACAACAACTTGGTACATACCAAAGACAACAAGTAAAATTATAAACCCTAAAATGTTACAAAGTGTTTCTTCAAAGTAGAATGCCTAAATCAACAATGTTACAAAGTGAAATACTATAGAAGCAAATCACATTTTGGTCTCGAGAAAATAAGTTGAAGAAACAGCTAAACCATCGATGTCATAAGTGCGAACGAGTCTCTGTCTTTTTGTAGGGGATTTGGGTTCGACCCAACAAAACTCTAAATGAAAAGACTTTGCTTCACCCACTTGTTTTCCCACATCACATGGACACCCCATGTACATGCCTCCCGGTAATAATGTGATTTGATAGCCACCATCATATTTCACCAAGTTACCCGACATCTTGCCTGTCCATCGCACATTTGTCGATACATTTTTGTCCTTGTATGTTGATGTTTGATCCTGTTTACCATGATTTGTTACAGTTTTAGTCCCTATGTTTATAACTTTTTCTCGGTTTTCATCCCAAGAAGAATCCGTTTGCAATTTTGGTCCTTATCTTGATGTTACAAAATTACACAAATGGTCCTTGTGGTTTAGTATTTAACCCTAAATTTTTTTAAAGGACTTATGGTGCAATGTTTTCATACTACAATGATCACCGGTGTCATAAAGCTCTCATAGGGACCATCTGTGGCCTCTTTTGTAAACCACAGGGACCATTCATGTAATTTTGTGTAATGATATTTAGACCTGAATACTCAGCTTTTAATTTATTTTGAATGACCATTTTACGGTTGGAACAAAACTGAAAAAACTGTATACAATTTGGGCCCAATTCATAATTTTCTCGTTATTTTATTATTAAACTATTTTCTAAATTTAATGTATTTTATTTTTAGTTATATATTAAAAGATTTAAAATTTTCTTGTTTTACATTGGAAAATTTGTTTTGGCAATTTTGGTCCTGATGTGGTGATGCTGATGTTTCATAATGATAATGGTCCCTGGATCGTTAAACCTACCTACTCAAATTAAATTTGGGTAAATGACCATTTTGCCCTTGGAAGAAAACTGAAAAAAAGGAATACAATAGGGGCCAAATTTGTAATTTTCTCTTTATTTTATTACTAAACTATTTTCTATAAGATATTTTATTTTTAATTATTATAAAATTAAAAAGTGAGTTTTAAAACTATTTTACATTTAAAATGACCATTTTGGACCATATTAGTAATTTTCTCTTAATTTTAATTATCTTTTTTAACGGTTTCAAGAATAGGTTTGAAATTTTTGTCAATATTTTAATGTTTCATTATGGCTTTCGTCCCCGAATAGCTAAATTTAAATCTAACTATTCAGCTGTTAATCTTTTTAAAATGACGAATTTGCCCTTTGGACCAAAACTGGAAACAGTATACGGTATACCACAGGGACCAAATTTGTTAATTACTCTTAAATAAAACTATACTATTTTCTAAACTATAACGTATTTTACATTCAAAATGACCATTTTGCCCTTGGTCAACCAAAACTTTTTTTTTTCTATATTGCATGTACTAATGTATTCAATACGATGATATAAATTATACTATTAAAAATTCATTCTTTATATATATATATATATATATATATATATATATATATATATATATATATATATATATATATATATATATATATATAGAGAGAGAGAGAGAGAGAGAGAGAGTCAAGATCAAATAAGAAGGAAAATTTTGGTAGGAAGGTAAGAAGTTTTTTTTCTACATATTTTTTTAGCGAACAAACAAAATGAATCATCACATGAATCATTTGTAAGATGATTCACAAGAAAAAATTCTCAAAAAAACATGTTGATGATTCATTTATACAATGATTTTATTGTTATTCACTAAAACTATCACAAAAATGAATATTTTCTTAATTTACTTAAAAATGAATCATCTAGTGATTCATTTATTTTGTTCGTCAAAAAAATATACAAAATAAACTTCTTACCTTCCTACAAAAAAATATTTCTTACCGGATCTATATATATATATATATATATACTAATTCAAGAAAAAATAAAAAAATAAACCTGGATTAGCTGACCCTTGTCATCAATTTTAAGTGATGTCACTGTGTCAGCTTCAGCATCAGTGGCACCATAAACACCACTACGCTTTGTTACAGAGTGACCTTTCCATGTTCCAAGATGCTGATTGATCCTGTTTTCTTTCTCCTAATATATAAAGAAAAAACAAAACAAACACAAGAATTCAAAAGAGAGTTCATATCACTTGAAATTTGATAATAATAAATAATCATCATAAAGCCATGAAAATACCTTAGATTCATCAAGAAAAGGAGGAGTAACCACTCCAACACCTTTTTGTTCAAGAAAAAGGATAAGCATCTCAACAATACCTTTCGGATCCATTATGTGGAATGCTCTTGCTCTCAAATCTTTGTCTAGTGAATAAAGACAGTTTTCACATACAATAGAAGGTAATTTAGAAGGAAGCTTCAGGTTTCTGCATATGGTAAATATAGTATAAGATAAGTTACAAGCAGATAAAACAAATTGTAACATTAATTTATACCATTAAAATACTCACTTGGGTGATGCTTCTCCAATGTCATCTTCACCTAATACTCCTTCTCTTAATACTGTTTCTAACATGCCTGCTGTCTGATACCTTAATGCAAATGCCTTCTCTTGGGGAAAGAAACCAATCTGTAGACTAATTACAGTGGATATATTTAGTAGGAGAAGATATCAAAAGTGTTGAACACTTAAAACTATTGTTACACATTATCTAGATGCACAAATAAAAAAACCTGTTGATATTTTTCAGCAGTAAACATGTTGGTTTCTTTGATTTTGTACTCTGCCCATTCGGCTTCATGATCTGTTTTGGAAGCTGAGTAGCTTGATGAAGATGATTGTTTGATGTACAACCTGAATTTGACAATGGGAACCATGGTTAAGTGAGTAACACATAGCACACACAATGCTAGCTAACAAAGCATCCAATATGAATCAAACTGATAAACTCATCTTGAGCTTGAATAGGTATGTTGCATTTCTGTATTAATTCTAAGATACAATTGTTACAGAATCACAAATCTAATATTCATGTAATTTAAATAAATCAATTTGATTGAAGAAGAATCTTACGTCTGAATCAAACTAATCAACTCATCTTCACCATAAGATCCCGCGGATAGCCTGGTATCCACCTTATGCATCAACTTCCCCATTGAATCGAATTGCTGATCAAAACACCACATAAATGTCTAATTAATAACAAAACAACTTCGAAAACCAAAACAGATGATCCGAATTGTGATACCGACGTGAAAAGAACCGGTCCAGTTCCCCAAATTGAGTCTGATGAATCGCTTAAGAGCGTCGATGCTCATCGATTCCTGATTTGTTTTTTGAGGATTATTATACGAAGTCGACGAAGGAGACGTTGCGTTGGTTAACAATGACGTTTTGTGAGGAATTGCTCGACGGTATGGTTTAGGGTTTACGAAAATTGAATTGACCGAATTACTACTGCTGCAAAAAGCACCAATAGGACAGAAGGCTGCCATTCGAGTAATCAATTGAGGCCAATTGATATCTTTGAGTTTTGATGGAAGCTTAGTTCGTTGTGTTTGAAGTTATGTTGGAAGATGAACTGAAAGCATTTCCATACAACCAACAGATTTGCAAATATCTTATCCACACTAAAATCTGTTACTGCATGTTTTTTTTTCAGCCGTTTTATGTTTTTGTTTATTATCCCTTTTCCAACAATGTTTTGTATATTGGTTTAAATGGTTCTTCGTGATTTTTCTTTTTTTGCGTTTAAAGGGTACGAAATTGTGTTTTACCGGTTAATTTCGTACATTTATCTATTTTTGAAGGTTACACTGCCTTTTTCACCTGCCAACTAAGCAGGTGAGTCAACAATGACTCAGTGGTGAGTCGACTCATCGTTGCCACGTAAACCAAGAGTCTAAGCACAAAATCGAACTTCGTCTTCTTCATCTAAAAGAAAAGCAAAAATACCCAAACCTTTGGTTCCTTGTGTTCTTTATCAGAACTCGAAAGACACCTGACTAACACAACCTTCATACCTATTAATCCGAACCCAACACCAAAATCCCCAAAGACACCTGATTCTCCCTTACTGATATCCTAATTACAACTTCAATTCATCGCCATAAAACCACTGAATACACAACCATCATCCCCAACTGTTGCCTATGCTAAAAATAAAAGAAACAAACAGAAGAAACATAGAGGCGATTCAACGAAAAAAGGGAGGGGTCTGCGATTCAGCTCAACATGATCAGATCCAGAGCGATTCAGCTCAACATGCTCGGATTCAGGTTATGGCCAATCGAAGGTTGACATGAGGTTTGTGACCCAATCTTAGGCGATTCAGTGAGAAAACGGGCAATCACCCTCTTGAAACTTCCCGTTTCTCCCGCGGTGAGCACTAAAGCATCGAACACTTCCACCGACAACACTGTCGGGAGTTCCAATCGCCAATCAAATTGGAGTATCCAAGTAGGAGGTAGTGTAGATCAATCCGGTATGAGAGGCATCAAGTTTCTAGTAATTCATTTGGAGGAGGTGTCAGAAGTACATGGTGGTTCACCCTTTTCTATCAACGATGATAGTGGTGGTGTATTCATCTTCTTCAATGGGAGTTCTCAACAGAACTCCATTAGACTACATAAATCTATCTTCGATTTCGATTTCTTGTATCACCACATCATCGTTAACTATAGATGTTGGACGATTCTGGTGGCAGATGATGGTGGATTAGTGGTGGTGTTGGAACACAGGTTAAAGGGAATAATATAGGCAGACATCGATGGAAGGAAACGGGGAATTAGGGCTTTCTGGCGATGTGGGGATGAGAGAGAGAGAAAGAAAGAGAGAGAGAGAGAAAGAGAGAGAGAAGGGAGAGAGAGAGATCTTAATTGATAAGAGACTTCTGATGAGGTGGCATTTTTTTAACTTTAAACATGCTGACTAGGAAAGGGTTCACCGGATGACCCCTTCATTTTTTTTAGAAAATGACTTTTTAAACCCTAATAATATGAATTTGTACCCTTTAAATGCAAAAAAAAAAAAAAAAAAAAAAAAAAAAATTCACAATGGACCATTTAAACAAATATACGAAACATATATATATATATATATATATATATATATATATATATATATATATATATATATATATATATATATATATAATAGAAACATTTTTTTCATGGATTTCATTTGAAACTTCCATGCATTTTTCTTTTCATCATATTCATTTGAAACTCTTGTAACTTTTCAATTTTTTGCTAATAATAATTATAAATTGGTTAATAAGATTAAATAAATATTAAACCTAAAGTGTAATTATATATAAACTAAATTTTAATATTAAAATAATATATTTACTTCTATCTATATAGTTATGTTTTTTTTTTAACTTTTAACATATTATACTTAATTTATTAATTTTAATATATTGTTGGATGTAACCATTATCATTTTAAATATACAATTTTGGAACAATTTGTATAAATTATTTATATTGTTAATTTAAATACAACATTACAGGCTAAACTTAAATATGAATTTTAGTTTAACTTAAACAAACCAAAAAATATTTTTTAAATAGTTAACAGTGATAAATTATAGTCTTTCTAATAATAATTATAAGCTGGTTAATAAGGTTAAATAAATACCAAACCTAAAGTGTAATCATAAATAAACTAAATTTCAATTTCAATATAATATCTTTAGTTTTACTTATAAAGTTATGTCTTTAGCTTTTAACACATTATACTTAATTTATTAGATTTAAAATGTTGTTTTATGTAATCATAATCAGTTTAAAGGTACAACTTTTGAACAGTTTGGACAAAATACTTAAATTGTTAATTTAAATATAACATTACAGTATCAACTTAGATATAAATTTTAGTTCTACTTAAAAACCAAATAATATTTTGTAAATAATTAAAAGTAATAAATTGTAGTGATAAATGCAAAAACCAAATTGTAATATCAATTTAACTAAAATATTTTCTAAATAAATTTTTATAATCGGTAAAAAATTTCAAATAAATAGCTTAAAATAATTACAATACCAATAGTTAAAAATAACTATATATAAATGATTATATTGTTATATTTAAAATCAAATAACAATGTTTGATGTTTTAAATAATTTTAATGATAGAAATTAAAACATTAAGCAAATAAATTTTTAAAAATTAATTAGCAATAACAACTATAAATAACATTAAACCATATATCATATTTAATTTTATTTATGTGTAATTCGCGGGTAGAAATCATTCAAACGATTGAGATTATGCAGTTATAATAGATGTATATAGTATCATATAATTCAAAATAATTAATATATTATATCAATTTGGTATACGAAATATTATATAAAATTTAACAACAGTGTTATTGTTATATATATATATATATATATATATATATATATATATATATATATATATATATATTTCTAAAACTTCAACTATATAGGTGTTTCTGCATAACATGCGGTAATTCGCCTAGGATACTTATAAATGAAGTATTTTTCCTTTCACTACATTCATTTGAAGCTCGCATGTATTTTTTTTTTCTTTCACCACATCCATTTGAAATTCCCATGACTTTTCAATTTTTTCTAATAATAATTATAATTTGGTTAATTAGGTTAAATAAATATCAAACCTAAAGTGTAATCATACATAAACTAAATTTCATTAATAAAATAATATTTTTACTTTTGCTTATAAAGTTATGTTTTTTAACTTTTAACATATTATACTTAATTTATTAGTTTTAATATATTGTTGGATGTAAACCATTACCATTTTAAAGATATAATTTTGGAACAATTTGTATAAAATACTTACATTATTAGTTTAAATATAAAATTATAGGGCCAATTTAAATATAAATTTTAGTTTAACTTAATCAACTGAAATAATATTTTGTAAATAGTTAAAAGTGATAAATTATAGTGTCTTTCTAATAATGATTGTAAGTTGTTTAATAAGGTTAAATAAATATCAAACCTAAAGTATAATCATAAATAAACTAAATTTTGATTTTAAAATAATATATTTACTTCCACTTATAAAGTTACGTCTTTAACTTTTAACATATTATACTTAATTTATTAGATTTAATATGTTGTTATATGTAAACCATTATTAGTTTAAAGCTACAAATTTTGAACAGTTTGACAAAATACTTAAATTGTTAACTTAAACATAATATTACAATGTCAATTTAAATATAAATTTCATTTCCACTTGAAACCTCAATTTAACTTAAATATTTCCTAAATAAAATCGTTAAAAGTTTTCAAATAAGTAGTTTAAAATAATTTACAATAATTACAGTTAAAAATAACTATATATAAATGGTTATATTGTTACCTTTAATTTTTTTTTTAATAATTATAATGATAGAAACTAAAACATTAAGCAAATAAAATTAAAAAAAAATAGTTAACAATAACAAGAAGAGAAAATGACAAAAATAACCATTTACACTAATGACATTACAAAAATAGCCAAAAAATATCCAAATTACAAAAATAGCCAACGATTTCGCAGATGAAAATGCCCCATCTGCGAAATCACCTTGTCATCTGCGAATGTACAAGCAAGTAAAGCACAGCTGTGCTTTAGCTGCTTGTACTTTCGCAGATGGCTTAGGCCATCTGCGAAATTGTAAAGCCATCTTCGAAATGCTCTTTGTTTCGGTATATAAGCGTTTTTCTTTTCTCCATTTTCCCCCTTCTCTACACAAAAACTCTCTCTAACTCTCTCTATCTTTGGAGTATTTTCGCGATTTTGGCTACTTTTTGAAGAAAATGGAGGATTATGTCAACAATCCGGCGAATATGGTTAGATTTTAACTCTTTAAATGTTGAAGTTTTTTTTTGTTATTATTTATTGTATTATTTAGTGTTAACAAAAGGGTAATTTTGTTGTATTTTGATAGTTTTAATATTTCTTTATTATACTTGAAGCTTAAATGGTATTTTGTTAGTGTTTGTTTGAATGTACAAGTAGAGACTGCATAGATAATATTTAGAATTTGTTATTTTTGTTGTTTGTTTAGTTGTTGTATAACCTGAAAACTTGTATATTGTTATCGTATAATTGTTTATATAAAGTGAAAAATAGTTAAATTATAGTATGTGTAAAATAGTCGTTTGTATATATATTTGTTTTATAAGTACAACATTTGTATAAGTTGAAAATTTGTCGTATATATATTGTTAGAAATTGGTTGTGTTTGTCATATAAGTTGAACAATTGTTGTCGTATAACTTGCAAAATTGTTAATTTGGTTGTCGTTTTATTTGAAAAATTGTTTGTTTATATGATTATAAAATGTTAGTTTATAGAATTAGAAATATAAAAATTGTTTATGTATTTGTCGTTTAAGTTGAAAATTTATCGTTTATATATTTGTCGTTTAAGTCGAAAATATGTTTAATAAAATGTTTATATAATTATATATGATATTGTTTTTTAACGTAAATATTTTTGTTGTATAACTTGGAAAATTGTTTATATATATGTATGTTATTGTTTTTTATCGGAAATATAAAAATAATTATTAATTAAGAAATAGTATTTGCATTACCAATTGTTTATGTATTGCAGTTCGTAATCATATATTTTAAAAACAAAACATTTTTTAGTTATCTAATTTGTTTTTGTGTTT